AACTGGAATTATTAAAATTAAAAACTTTTGCTCTTCTGTTATTCAAATGAAAAGGCAAACCTGGGAGAAAATGTTTGCAAAATATATATCTAACAAAGGATTTATATCTAGGATATATAAAGGACTCTTACAACTCAATAACAAGACAAACAGCCCGATTTAAAAATGGGCAAAGTATTTTAAGGGAAACATCAACCAAGATGATATATAGATGGCAAAAAAGCACAAGATTCTCAACAGCATTAGTTATTAGGAGAGTGTACATTAAAACCACAGTGAGATACTACTTCACTCCCACTAAAATGGCTAAAATTAATAGGAATAATCATACTCAATGAGGGCAAAGATATGAAGCAAATGGAACACTTATATACTGCTGGTGGGAATATAAAATTGGTACACCACTTTGGAAAACAGTTTAGCAGTTTCTTAAAAAGTTAAATATACACTCACATGACCAAACCATTCATTCCTAAATATTTATACAAGATAAATGAAAGCTATGTCCACACAAAGACTTATATATAAATGTTCACATCAGTTTTATTTGTAATAGAAACAATACATTTTAATCAACACATGAATGGATAAACAAATTATATATATATATATATATACACACACACACACACACACATACACAATGAAATTCCACTTAGTAATAAAAAGGAATGAATATAGATGCCTATAGCAACACAAATAAATCACAAAATAATTATGCTAAATGAAAGAAGCCAAACAAGAGTGCCTATTGTATGATTCCATCTATACAAAATTGTAGAAAATGCAATTCATCTATAAGGACTGGAAACAGATCAGTGGTTGCCTGTGGATGGGGGGAACGGTGTAGGGAGGGACAGTTGGATGACAAGGGGTATAAGGAAAATTCTGGGGGTGATGAGTATGTTCATTATTTCTATTGTAATGATGGTTTTAAAGGTGCATATATATGTCAAAACTCATCAAATTCTATTTGCCGTGTGCTAATTATACCTCAATAAAGCTGTAAAATATATTTTGAGGACAATGGGAGAAATCTGAAAATAGACTGGCTATGAGATATCATAAAATTAGGTTGATATTGATAATCCAGTTTTGTGGGAGAATGTCCTTATTTTTAGGAAACAGATGTTCAAGTATTTATGAGTGTAACGCTATGTCTATAACTTACCATCAATTTTTCAGGAAAAAATTTACATATACATTGTTGAATCTAGTTGAAAGTTATACATGTGTGTTCACTGTGCTGTTCTTTCAATATTTCTACATGATTAGAAATTTGCATAATTAAAATGTGCTTTATCATTTTATTGTCCATCCTCCTCTTCAGAGAGAGAAACATTATCTTTATCATACTGGAATGTAGGCAGATCTTTTCTGGGAATTTCTCCAGGGAGAAAAACATTCTCTATCTTTACTGCCCAGGAATATAAATAAATGTGAGCACATTGGCTGTTAATGTCCAGACAATGAGAAACATGAGAGATTCATGGAGAACTATCTTTGAATAGGAGGCTAGGGACAGTCACTCACAGCTAAAAAGAATAATGATATGAAATGAATGTAGACGGTATGAAATGCAGAAGATGACAAAGACATATTATATATGCAATAATTGATGTCCTTGAAGAAGAGAAGAAACGGATCAGAAAAAAATGCATCAGAAAAAAAGTTTATAAACTAAAACTTCACTGAAATGAAAAGCTTGAATCATGATTGAAACAGCTCATTGTAACATAAAATTAATTAAAAAATCAAGACCAAGGCATATGCTTCTAAAATCCTTAACTTCGTGCATAAAAAAGAATTATATGGCAGAGAGGTACAAGAAAAAAAAGAGAGGGGATTAGTCTAAGACTTCTCAATGGCATCACTCAATTTAAAAGAGCAACATTTATCAGGATTCTCAGGAAAAGGAAGTAACTTACCAAGCAGGGTTCAATCAGGTAAGTGGATTCTATAAATATTATGGAATAAGGAATTTTTTTATATGAATTCGACCATGCACAACTGTGGGAGTAGCTGGGAAAGTAAAGGTATGGAAAGGGGAGTTGGAAGATTAGAGAAGTCACTAAACCACCCTTTTGAAAACACTGACATGGGTGGTGAATAAGTTCCAGCTTGCAGGAAAATCTGAGAAGCCAGGCACATCCAGCTGCTGAATTGAGACTGTCAAGGGAGAGCTTATAGAGAAGTCTATGAAAAGCTGTTGCCTTTGTGGGCCTCAGCCAAGCATCTTATGGTGCCTGGGACCACTGGTGGTCAGCAGCGCTGGGAGATACAAAGGACTGAACATAGAATGGAAGAGAGTGAGGAAAAAGTAAAACTTTCTGGGTACCTCTGCATCTGTCCTTCACTGTGTCTAATCTTAAACTTGTAGAGTAATGGTTGTTCCTTCACTTTGACCTCTCAAATCTCATGGTCTCTATTTCTGGCCAACTCTAACCTGGAGTCAAATAGGATTCTTGAAAATGCATTTCTTAGTGTAACCCAGACAATATCAATAGAGTAATACAGCCCAATGATCTAATATTTTCCTATCGAAAGAAAAAGTTTTGTGGTGAAGTAACATTACTTGAGTTCAGAAATTCCTTCAGGTTTGCTCAGTTTTTTTTTCTTTAGTTAAATTCACTTCTAAAATAACACTCATCACATTTAACAGTGACCTCCTTGTCACAAATTCCAAGAACCAGTTTTCCATCTTCATATGAATTGACCTCCAGTCTGGACAATTCCCCCAGTAAAACACTGCTTCCACAGTGTTTCCAACACTGTCTTCTGTGAGCCTCTTGCTCACCTGGTATGTTTTTACCTCTCTGGCTGCTCCTTCCTATTATCCTCTGTAGATGAATCCCTCTTGGCCGGGTCCTCAAATGTTGGAAGCACAAACCTTGGTCCTAGGCCTGCTTTTCCAGTTACCCAATACATTTTCTTTAGGTAACTAGATGAGACTAAGATACTACAAACAAGCTCTCATATCCTGGTCAAGCACAGAGAATTAAAGGGTACAGGAAGTGGGGTACATCTAATATTCATCGAGACCTGCTTTTCGTTCGTAGTTCTAAGTGCTTTATACAAACAAATGCATTAGCTTCTTGTTATGGGTAACTGTGTCCCCCCAAAAAAAAGATATGTCCAAGTTCTAACCCCCAGTATCTCAGAATGTAAACTTATTTGGAAATAGAGTCTTTATAGAAGTGTTCAAGTTAAAATGAGGCCATTAGGGTGGGCTTAATTCAATATGACTTGTGTCCTTACAAGAAGGGGGAAAATTAGACACAGAGGCAGACATGCAAAGGGAACACAATGTGAAGATACACAGGGAGAAAAAGGCCATGTGATTAGAGTAATGCATCTAATGCGAAGGAATGCCTGAGGCTACCAGAAACTAGGAGAGAGGCATGGAACAGTTCCTTTCCTAGAGCTTTCCGAGGGAATATGGCCCTGCTGACTCCTTGATTTCAGACTTCTGGCCTCCATAACTGTGAGACCAAGCAATTTCTGTTGTTCTGAGCCACTCAAGTTGTGGTGCTTTGTGAGAGTTGCCCTGAGCAGCTAATACACTTTTCATATCAAATCTAGGAGATACGTACTAGTGTGAATGTCCTTTACTGCTTAAGAAATTAGGACAAAAAGGTTAACTAACCTGCCTAAGGTAACATAGCCAGTAACTAGTAGAGCCAGGACTAAAACCTTAGCAAGACTGGTTCCTGAGCCCATCTACCTAACCACTATGCAAACTACCTCTTAATATTTTTAACAGCATTGCTCCCAGTGACAAAAAAAAAGTAAAAAAAAAAGGGGTGTGTGTATAAATCTTAATAGGAAAAAGGTTGAATAAATTATTGCATATCCATCCCTATGAACTATCATGCAACCATTCAAAATAGTTGTTGAGTAATAAAGCAAGATGCAGAGATAGTTGTATGACATGATCCCATATTTGAAATTCATGGAAGAAAACAATCCTTATATAGCTTCTATCTGATTATAAGCATGGGAACATATGTATTTCTATATATAATTAAAAGCACAGATTAAAACATGAAAGTGTTCATAGTAGTTTAGTATTGGTTATCTGTTGGAGATGAATAGTGGAGGAGGAAATTCAATAAATAATAAATATATTAGTTAGCTTTTTTCCTGGGTAACAAGCCACCCAAAACTTAGTGCTTAAAACAATCAATACTTAATCCATGATTCTATGAGTTGTCTGGGATGGGTGGGATGGATGGCAGAGCTTTTCTACTCTGTGCCAGTGTATTACTAATCTGTTACTATGTAACGTGTTACCCTAAAATTTAGCAGCTTAAAACAACAAGTGTTTATTATCTCACAGTTTCTGTGAGTCAGGAATTCAGGTGAGGCTCAGAAGGGTGTCTCTGGCTGAAGGTCTTCATAAGGTTGCAGCCAAGTTGTCATTTAGGGCTATGGTCTCATCTGAAGGCTAGCCTGGGAGCATATGCTCCCAAACTCACTCACATGGGTCTCTCCATAGACCTGCCTCATGAGATGGCAGCTGGCTTCCCCTAGGGTGAGCTATCTGAGAGAGTACCCGAAACAGAAGCCACAGTTTCTCTGTAACCTAACCCTGGAAGTGACATCCCATTACCTCAGCTTCATTCTATTTACTAGAGCCAAGTCACTAAATCCAGCCTAAGCTCGAGGAGGGGATTATACAAAGGTGTAGATACCAGGAAATGGGGATCATGCAGGGTCATCTCAGATGCTACTGACCACAGTGGGCTTGACCAGGGTTGGATGGCTAGTATAGCTTCATTTGCATGTCTGGCAGATGAAAATCTGGCTGGTGTAGGGAACCTCAACTGGGATGGTTCATCTCTATTCCATCACTGCTCCATGAAGTCTCTCATCATCTAATAGCACAACCCGGGCCTTTTCACACTTGTCCTTAGGATTCCGAAGAGGAGCAAAAGTGGGCAAACCTCAATGTGTAAGCACTTCTCAAACATCTGCTTGTGTCATATTTGCTAATGTCCCATTGGCCAAAGAAATGGCCACGCCCAGTTTTAAGGGTTGGAGAAATGGACTCCATCTCCTGATGGGTGAAGTGGAAGAGTCACATTGAAACGGGGGCATATATTCTGATGTTAATGGCCAAAGGAGACCATCCAGACTTCTGTCTTCTGCCTGGGATGTAGACATCTGGAAAGAGCATAGCTCCCATTCTTATACTAAGAAAAAAATATGGGCAATCTACAAAATCATAACTTTTCTTGAACTCATCAAAGAACTAAGACCATAGAGCAACCAATTAGCTTGATGTATAAGACAAGTGCCTCAAAGGAGATAGGAAGTTGTCACTGGGTCACCTGTGGCAAAGCAAGAAGGAAGATGGGTCCACCATAGCAGCAGTAAGATTTCAGCAAGAAGTTTTAATGAAGCTTTAAAGGCTGAGTGTGGGATAGTATGAGAATATAGAACCCCCGAGAACTGGAGACCTAAGGATAGTCGGCCTTCACTTGCAGGCTCTTTGCTACAGACCTCCACTGGATGCTCACCAGAAATAATGGGGGTAGGGAAGGAGACTGGAGAAAGCCTCTCTCAGTGGTGGAGGCCTGCAAGGGGACAGCTGCTGATAGAGAAATGCCACAAAGCCCCAATGGGACCCTACTTCCTTACAGAACAAAAGCCTTAAACCACTAGGGGAAGTGATGCAAACCCAGTCACCCCCAGGATACAAGTGCAGATCTGCTGTGGCTAGAGAAAAAGGAAAAGGAAAAAAAAAAAAAATCTTCCATTCATGGGGGAAGGGCGGGTAATCATCCTGAGCTGAGACCACTAAAGGCCATTTACCAATGGGGAGGGGCAGGATCACTGAAAAAAAAAAACTCCACCCTCAAGACCTAGGGATACAAGTCCCTGCCTAAAACTGGGGTTGGCCCAGGACAACTCCTGACCCCTACTCATTAGGTCACCGAGACCCAAGTAATAACAGCAGTCTACTACTAAGGGAGAGACACGGGCATGGAGAGAGATCCTCCCTGAGATGCAGGAACACAGGAAAGGCCTAAAGGCAAGAATATTGAGAAAAATTATCTGGAAAACCAGTGCCTACCCTAAGCCCAAGGTAATATTTGAGAAATTTGAAGTCTATGGTACAATGAAAGTACCACAGCAACAACAAAACCTAAACCCAGCCCAAATTCTGACTAGATGGACTCACCCCCTCCCCCCTTAATGATTTATCAGAAGAGCAGTCATAACTATTTCCAGGAATAAATATTATTTACCTCAGTTTCTACTCTCCTCCATACAACGTCTGACATTCAGCCAAAAATTATTAGATGCAAAACAGCAAGAATAAACAGTCCACCATTAAGAGACAGAGCAATAAAAAAATCCAGACTCAGCTGACCCAGTTGTTAGTATTATCAAGTAGGGAATTGAAATTAACAATGATTAATGTGTTAGAAAGGATGGTGGGAAATGTGAACAACAGGTATGAACAGATGGGGAATTGCAGCAGAAAAATGAAAACTCTAAGAGTCAAATGGAAATACTAGAAATAAAGAAAACATAACTGAGATGAAGAATGCCTTTAATGGGTTCATCAGTAGCCCTAACAGAAGTAGTGGTTAAACAGATTGAACAGGGTAGGGGTTAAAATTCGTGAACCTGAAGATAGGTTAATAGAAATTACCCCACCTGAAACACAAAGTAAAATATTGAAAAGGGACACACATATAGAGAGGGTAGAAATTTGTAACATTTTTCTATCTAACACAATCTATCTTCTGGTCATTAATTATTTATGTTACCACACCATGCAAAATATGTTCACCCTCATTCCAAGACCTCCAAATGTCTCATCCCAAATTAGGGCATCAGGCTCAAATCCAGGACCTCAGGTCTTCTGTATCAGGTTCAGATGTGGCTGAAGCTCCTTGGGTGCAATTTCTTAGGTTCTTGATCCAGTGACCTGTGAGCTAAATGACAAGTTATATGACCATCACCCCCCCATACACACACACACACACACACACACACACACACACACACACTGGTGAGACAGGGACTGTGAACTGCAGTAGATACTCTCATTTAAAAGAAGGGAGGAACAAGAGGCACATCTTAGTCACTGTTCCATAACAACTCTGAAGTCGCACAGAACAAATGTTGTCAGGTCTCCCTGCTCCAGGGGCAGATGTTTCTTGACTGGGTCACAGTTCAACCTGGGAATAGCTTCCCAGTCCATTTTAATATATTGTTCTTGGGTCTTCTCTCGGAGACATCCTTCTTTTCCCATAAGAAATGGCAGCTGAGTAACTTTCTCTGTTTGCTTCATGTTCATAGAAGTTAGAGAAGGTAGTCCAAGGCTGCTTTTCATTTTGGACTGTTTCAATTCCTTTAAGTCCAACCCGGAGGTAGTAAAACTCTATTAGAGACTTTATAGGTGTTCTGTGAATCTTGTTTGTATTTAGTCCATGCCCCAAATGCCACATTGACAATTCTTTTTACAACAGGCCCCTCTCTACTTTAGCAATGTCTCAGGCTATTGGACAATGTCATGAAGTTTTTAGAAGCCTTTTGGTTTAGCTGAGAGAGTCTCCCAAACACCAACTTAAGTATTTCACACATTTTAACAAAAGGTGTTATAGCCGCATCCATGATTTGATCTCTACCCTGAGACCATTTTTCACCGTGAGAATATTTTGATGGCTGGAGAGACTTGGAGATGTGTGAGAAATAGTTATTTTCCAACCCAGCAAGTTCTGGCTTTTTTGGTATTTCTTCTGAATTCTGCTTGTAAATGGAACAGTTATTTCCTTAGTTCATCTCTCTTTTGGTACCTCACCGTATGCAGCTAAAAAGAAGCAAATTGATATTTCCAACATTCTCCACAAGCTTATTTGGTATATTCTCTATCTTCTCACAGAGCATGCTGTTTTGCTATTCTTTTCCCTAGTAAATAACATGAGCTGCCATCTTTTCCAGCCTTTCTTAACAGTTTTCCTTATTGTTTCCAGTCTCCACCTGCCACCAGGCCCAGAGCTAATGCCACGTCTTATGTTTTGTATAATCCACCCTCCCCCCACACACACCCCCCTGCCGACGAGTATACCCTTTTAGGTCTTAGTAGCTTAAAACAATAATCATTTTATGTATCTCATAATTCTTCAGGTTGGCTGGGGTAACTGGTATAGCTCTTTCGGTGTGGGCCAGTTTGGCAGGGGCTGGAGGTTGAGGAAGGTCTCACTCTCCTGCCTGGCAGTTGTTCTAAGAGGACTCATCTGTGCTGGCCCATCTCTGTTCCGTGTGGTTTCTCATCCCCCAGCAGAAGACTCTTGAGTTTCCTCACATGAAGTTCTCAGAATTCCAGAGAGCAGCAAGAGAAGATAAGGCTCAAGGCAGATTTTTCTCCAGCCTCTTGAATCTCTTTGCTAATGTACATTGGCCAAAGCAAATCACATGGCCAAGCTCAGAGTCAAGGAGTAGAGAGAGCTCTACCTCTTAATCAAAGAAAAAGAAAAAAAGTAACATAGCAAAGGATGGGAGAGGTCTGTGGCTATTTTGCATTGCACCACAAGGAAAGAAGATAAACAGTGTCGTGGAAACCAGCATGAATTATAGGATTATATTTATGTGTTCAAGTGAGATTATATCTGCAGATGTGTGTATATATAAAACCATAATGACTTTAAAACTGTGGATTCACAGGAGGATTCAATAGGAAAGATATTGGACAGACACAATTATATTAAATTCCAAAAAGAATTTCAATTCAATGATTCCTCCTGTTGTGTAATGTGTTCTGTCACAAACACCCTACAGAACTGAGAGTAGGTCTACACATCAAATACATTATTTTGTTGTTCTTCCTTTCATTTTGTTGCCACTTTACCTTGCTTAATATGACACAGTAAACATGACTGTCATTTACATACTTTTGCTCACTCCATCTATAAAGAATTTGGTAACAATTTGCCTTATAATACTTTCTATAGGGAGGCTTTTCTGAATGCATCAAACTGATAGCATTTTTCCCAGTATGAATTCTATTATATTTTGTGAGGCCATGCAAATATGAAAAGTCCCTTTTATTCAATGCATTCTTAGAGGGTCTCTTTTGAATAATTTTTCTTATCTCAGGGAGAGAGGCTGATGGATGCTTTTTATCATGCAGTGTATTCATATAGGATCTGTCTTGGATGGATTTTATGACATACACTTGGACCTGACTTCTGTGATAAGGCTTTCTCACTTGTAAGAAAAAGGGTTACTTTCATGTATGAATATTGCGATGCATACTCAGGACCGATTTCTGAGTGAAGCCCTTTCCACAGTCACTGCATTTATAGGGTTTATCTCCAGTATGAATTGTCTGGTGTTTATTGAAATTTGACCTGTCAGTGAAGGCCTTCCCACATTCTGCACACATGTATGGTTTCTCTCCTGTGTGAATTCGCTGATGTACTTTGAGATGTGGTTTCTTGGAGAAGGATTTCTCACACTCAGGACATTTATAAGGCTTCTCTGTAGTATGAATTCTCTGATGTGTAATTAACTCTGACTTCTGGATGAAGGCCCTCCCACAATCAGCACAAACATAGGGTTTCTCTCCGGTATGAATTGTCTGGTGTTTATTGAAATTTGACCTGTCAGTGAAGGCCTTTCCACATTCAGCACATATATAAGACTTCTCTCCAGTATGAGATTTCTGGTGAGTATTGAGATTTGACCTGTTGGTAAAGGCCTTCCCACATTCAGTGCATATATAGGGTTTCTCTCCTGTGTGAATTCGCTTATGCATCTGGAGTTGTGACTTAGAAGGGAAAGATTTCCCACAGTCACTGCATTCATAAGGCTTCTCTCCAGTATGGATTCTTTGATGGGCAATCAAGTGTGCCTTCTGGATGAAGGCCTGCCCACATTCAGTACATATGTAAGATCTCTCCCCTGTATGAATTCTCTGATGCATCCTGAGTGTTGATTTTTGGGTAAAGGCTTTCCCACACTCACCGCATTTGTGGTGTCTCTCTCCAGTATGAATTTTCTGATGTACATTGAGGGCTGAGTTCAGGGAGAAGCCTTTCCCACATTCACTGCATTCATAGAGTTTTTCTCCAGTGTGAGTTGTCTGATGCCTAAGTAGAGAGGACACCTGGAAAAATGATTTTCCACATTCATTGCATTTATAGGGTTTTTCTCTAGTATGAGTTTTCTTATGCACAATTAATTCTGAATTCTGGATGAATGCCTTCCCACATTCAGTACATATATACAGTTTTTCATCTCTATGAACTCTCAGATATATACTGAGTAGTGGCTTCTGTGTAAACACATCTACACATTTGCTAAGTTCATGAGGTTTTTCCATAGTGTGGATTCTCTGAGATGCAAAGAGGTGTGACTTCTGGGTGAGTATCTTCCCAAATTCAGAACACATATCTGCTTTCTTCCCAACAGGAAGTTTCAGATGGTGACTAAATGCTTGTTTGAGACCGAGGACTTTTCCACACTGATTACTTTCACAGAATTGCACTCCTGTATGAGTACTTTCATGGTTAGTATAAGAAGAGCTCTGTGTGAAAACTTGACCATGTCCAGTATTTTTATCAAAGTTCTTTGTTGCATTGTTTTTACCAGGAATATGTATGTCCAAATTATGCCTAAAACTCTTCCCAAATGAGTCACATTTATGGGGTCTTTTCTGTGAAGGAATATGATTTGGGCTTGGATGAACAAATTTTCCACTGTCTTTATATTCAAAATCCCACTCTGTATTCAGTACTTTCTTACTGATGAAAGCAGCATGACTCAGAGGTTTGCTCTGTTTTTCCTGATATCTTTTTATCTGTTCAGAATCTTGCCACAGTTCTTCTAAAATGGAATACAATGAATCATCTCTTGTATCTTCACTCTCCATTTCACTATGAAATGAAGCTTTTCCAGAAATTCTTTTTTGTGAGGTCTTAATCCCAAACCTCCCATCTAAAAAGAGAAAGAAAAAGTAAAATTGACACAAAGAATAGATAACAGAGGATTAAAAGTTACATATAAGCTAATCCAAATTGAACACAGGGGGAAACCAGTAAATATGATGATGATGGCCACAATGATGACAAGAGATACACATACAGCATTTATCATGTGCCAAGTTCCTGCATAATATCTATGATGTTCCAGGCATTGCTCTAAGAAATATATATACATATATGTATACATACATATGTGTATGTATATATATGTATTCTCACACACACACACACACACACACACACACCCCTACTCAATCCTTTCAATACCTTTGAGGTATTATCTATGACTATCTACCTATTATAGATAAGGAAAGTGAAGCTCAGAATGGTTATTTATATAATTTGCCCTAAAACATAGTTATTAAGTGTTGAAGACTGGAGTTCAACATAAGCAATCTAGTTCTATTTTGGTAGGATATAAAGTAGGGTGGATATAAAGATATAAAGTAGGGGGGATTGAAGATGAAAAAGACAAAGGTTTTAAGGGAAAATATCTGTGGAGAGACTAGGTTTGAAGGGGGTGATTCAGAGTCTAAGTTCACATTAGCTTTTTTTTTTTTTTAAAGATTTTATTTATTTATTTGAGAGAGAGAGACACACAGCGAGAGCAGGAACACAAGCAGGGGGAGTGGGAGAGGGAGAAGCAGGCTCCCCGCGGAGCAGGGAGCCCGATGCGGGGCTCGATCCCAGGACCCTGGGACCATGACCTGAGCCGAAGGCAGATGCTTAACGACTGAGCCACCCAGGCGCCCCTCACATTAGCTTTTATTTAAATTTTATTATGTTATGTTAGTCACCATACAATCCATCATTAGTTTTTGATGTAGTGATCCACGATTCATTGTTTTCGTATAACACCCAGTCCCCCATTGATTCTAAATCCTCACTACCCTCGCTCCATTTTGCTTGTTAGCAACAATACCAAATCAATATGATCAAAAAACCAATTTAATTTGCTAACATAGTAGATTCTAAAAGTTCTCATTACAAGGAAAAAATACTTTTTGTTTTTTCGGTATCTTTATGAGATGGATTTTAACTAGGCTTATTGTGGTAGTCATTTCACAATGTATTTAAGTCATTATGCAGTACACCTTAAACTTATACAGAGATGTATGTCAATTATATCTCAATAAAACCAAGAAAAAACTAATTTATTCATGCCTATAGGAAAAATACTGTAGTCATAGCCATCCTGTCCTATACAAACAATAAACAGAGATATCTATACTCCAACTCTCCATCTAGGTATAATTGTTTTCTTGGCCCTAAAAATATATACATCTAACAAGAAGCATAAAATCAGAGAGAAGACAAGCTATCTGTGGTAGGTTGAAAGCTGTCCACTAGAATCTGTTTCATCATTCTTTTGCATTAACAGAGTAGTGCTCAGGCATATGGCTGTCCAGTCATATAACATTTCTCAGCCTCCTCTGAAAATTGGTATGGCCATGTGACAATGTTCTCATCAACAGAATGTGAGAGAAAATGATGGGTGCCACTTTCAAGCCAGAGCATTGAGACAGTAGGCATGTTTTCTCAATACCCTCTTCTACCTTCTTGCTTACTAAAATCTGGACTTGGCAATAACACAGATACAAACATGCAGATGCCGCAGAAAAAAAAAACAAAAACCCAAGAGATGCTGGGGTTATGTAATGGAAGGAACCTGGATTCTGGAATAAACGTGAGCAATGAGGTTTTCCAAAGACCTGTGATATTAGAAACTTTATATAAGAGAGAAGTAAAATTCTTTAGCATTTAAGTCACTAGATCTTATAATCTGTTACTGCAAATAAGCTCTAACATAATTAATACACTATTTTCACCCAGAGTGGGAATCACAGATGTTTCCATTACCAGTATAATGCATGAGACATAGATTCTCGATAATTTTAAAATGGAAAAAATATACATAATTTCATCAGCAAGAGATTTTATTTTATTTTTAAAACAGATTTTATTTATTTGAGAGAGAGAGAGTGCACACAAGCAGGGGGAGTGGCAGGCAGAAGGAGAGGGAGAAGCATGCTCCCTGCTGAGCAAGGAGCCCTATGCGGGACTCAATCCCAGGACCCTGGGATCATGACCTGAGCCGAAGGCAGACGCTTAACCAACTGAGCCACCCAGGCGCCCCAGCAAGAGATTTTAGATAGTGAGAATGCTGTGAGTCATCAAACCCAGTTTTCCCCTGTTGGTCGCTTTGATACTTTATTCTGGATATATATCCCATCCAAAATCTCAGCCTCTTACTCTTAAGTTGCATTTTTATTCTCACGTACTTGGCTTTAATTTATTCTGTAGATATTAAGCACTGGATTCTTAGGCATGGTTTCAGAAGTGGTTCTGCTTTTCACTTTTTTTTTTTTAAGATTTTATTTATTTATTTGAGAGAGAGAGAATGAGAGAGAGCACATGAGAGTGGGGAGGGTCAGAGGGAGAAGCAGACTCCCTGCCGAGCAGGGAGCCCGATGCGGGACTCGATCCAGGGACTCCAGGATCATGACCCGAGCCGAAGGCAGTCGCTTAACCAACTGAGCCACCCAGGCGCCCACTGCTTTTCACTTTAACTTATAAATATACCTATAGAAAGTATAACTTATAAATAATTAAGTTAACTTCTAAACCCCTGCTGTATTGGACAATGTTTAGATCACCAATACCAATTTTCATTGTAAAAACTCTGCTCTTGCAATAATAGGCTTCTCTACACCTTTCCTGAGCCCACAGATTCAAGGAACAGTACATAAATGGAGAGTCAACAGTCTAGATAACAGCTGTGTGTGCAAGCTTGCATTCTATTTGCCACTCACAAAAATGCCTCCAAAAGTCCCATTTATTCTCAAATCAAAAGACACGTTCATGCCCTCTTCCTCCATTTAGCCTTCTTAGCATTTTCTTTTGTGCCATTTAAAAAACATATTTATGCTTCATTAAGCAGTTTGAGCCTTTTACTTTGAAAATTAATCTGATCATATTGCTACTGAGACTTTTTCCCCTAAATTTCAAAAGCAGACACCTTCTGTGCTATTCATTTTGCTAATCATTTTAATAGATTTATATCATAATAGAAATACAATGCACAAGCAGTAAACTTTTATTTGATGCCACTGTCTTTACTTTCCAATTATAATCTATGTTCTGCTGAAATTTCTCAGTAGAGTTTTTAAAAATCCCTCTGAAATATAGCAAAATCCTCTTATATTCTTTTTTTTTTTTTTTAAGATTTTATCTATGGGGCGCCTGGGTGGCTCAGTCGTTGGGCGTCTGCCTTCGGCTCAGGTCATGATCCCAAGGTCCTGGGATCAAGCCCCGCATCGGGCTCCCTGCTCAGCTGGAAGCCTGCTTCTCCCTCTCCCACTCCCCCTGCTTGTGTTCCCTCTCTTGCTGTGTCTCTCTCTGTCAAATAAATAAATAAATAAATAAATCTTAAAAAAAAAATAAAGATTTTATCTATTTATTTGACAGAGAGACACAGCGAGAGAGGGATCACAAGCAGGGGGAGAGGCAGAGGGAGAAGCAGGCTTCCTGCTAAGCGGAGAGCCCGATGCGGGGCTCGATCCCAGGACCCCGGGATCATGACCCGAGCCGAAGGCAGACGCTCAATGACTGAGCCACCCAGGCGCCCCAAAATCCTCTTATATTCTTATCCTCCACAAATTCAGTGAGTTAATATTGTTAAGTATTTCCTTCATGCTTAGTGTTCAAACACTGAAAATAAGATAGACGCCCTTACTTTCAGGGACTTTCAAAAATTACTAGGGGCAGAAGCATCTGAGAGGCAGGGGAACAGAAATGGAGAAGGGCAATAAATTTGCCATTTCATGGAATAGATGATAACCTGAAATGAAACAAAATGGAAGTATCTATTACCTGGATAGGCAGAACACAAGATAATACAGATCCTAGATGCAGAGACGAACTTCATCTATGGTAGGCATTAAAGACAAGGTGAAAATGTGAGGAACACATGAATTAAGGAACTGTACGGATACAACTTGAACTGGAAATACATGGGCCACACTGGTCATGTGTTATATAATATGGAATAATTATAAGTTTACTTCATAAAGCCAATGACAAAGGTAAATGCAATGTTTTAGGTAATGAAATCTATCAGGAGCATTTAGGATGAACTAGACAGAAGAACAGAATCTGCAAATCTCATTAGGAACTATAGAATAATCCAAGCATAAGAAAATACAGATCTGCTTTTGGGTGATGCTACTAGGAATTAAGATGAGAGCATATCTGAATAGTATTCTTCAAAAAAAAAAAAGGGAATTGCAGAGTAATTAGTAAGAGAAGATAACTAAGAGGGAAGAAACAAGAAACAGGAGAATCTGACAAAATTTGTAACATGCGGATTCCTGATTTGGGCAATGATGATGCCAATTCTTCACATACTAAGTAAGGATGAATAAAGTAGAATATTCTATGGTAATTGTCTAATATGCAGGTAAATGTGGTACTAGAATCCAGTTACAATATAGCAACTAGTGGTGTCAATATAGAAGTCATCAGAATACAAATAAAAAGCTTAAGCGTTCAGAACGGAAGACTCTTTTGAGTTATAATTACTATAGAAACAAATATCCAGAAGATAGTAAATAACACCCATAACCAGGGGCATCTCAGTGGGGGTAAAGCCTCTATGGAAAAGGAAATGAGCAAATTAGGTGCAAATCAAGGAGAAAAAAAAACTATATAGTTAGAAAAGATAAAATAATAGGAACAAGCAATTCACAGAAGGGGAAACCCAAATGGATAACTGATATTAGAAAGAGCAAGAAATGGGGCACCCAGGTGGCTCAGTCAGTTAAGGGTCTGCCTTCAGCTCAGGTCATGATCTCAGGGTCCTGGGATCAAGCCCCACATTGGGCTCCCTGCTCAATGGGGAGTCTGCTTCTCCCGCTGCCCCCCCACTCGTGCTCTCTTTATTATGCTCTCTCT